GGAAAAAAAAATAATAATAAAAAAAAAAAAAAAATCAGGCTTTTTCAGCTAGCAGGAGAAGGCAGGAGATCCACTGGCTAGAAACTAGAGAAACCACAGACTAGAAATACTGTACAATACTTCTATGCAGGGACTTAGAACAGTTATACTGAAGCAACAAACCTGATGCACAAGCCAGGGTAAAATCTCCAATTTTGTTTATTTTAGTAACAGACCTATTATCGCAACAGATCCTACTGACTTGAACATCCACCAATGAAAGCATGCTTTAGAAACTATTTCTTTCCGTCTTTATCATAACACTTCAGATTTTTCTCTTCTTTGAAGAAGGTTCTGTTCTGGTCAATTCCTGATGACATTTCTAGTCTCTCCAGTTACTTCCAATAGTTCAGTATCATTGCACTATTTACCATTTTAAGTTTAGTTATGTAGATCAAGTTTCTACACAGGCCAGTAGGCCACTGAACTCACCACACTATTTTCAGTGTTTTTAAAAGCCTCTACATGTGTAAAAAATGCAAAACTGGGACTTCCATGTCATCTCCGGGTTAATTCAATTGCATTTGAATTTCTCCTTACAAATATTACCATTCAGAGAAATGGTGAAGGAATAAAAATTAGTGTTACTGTCATCAGCCATCATCTGAAAGGTTCCTGTCAGTGTGCTGACATTTATACTGTCATTTATAATTACCACTTTCTCTCTACTGCTTTTTACCAAATAAGTTATGATATTGTTATTTTACCAAAGTACAAGCTCAATTGAGTATTTGTGCAAGAAAGGGCTAAAGAGGTAACTAAAGTTCTAGTACTCTTTTAAAAATGGTACTGCTAAAATGGCTCTTTGCCCATCTTGGGAGATGCTCACCTTTGATATTCTGCAAGTTCAACATTCATGGCTTTTTTAGTGTGTATATATATGTATATTGCACCAGCCTGGTGCAATAAACACCTGAAGAAAAGTACAAAGATTAGTGTCTATAGAGCCATTGCACTGTCTACTCTTTTATATAGGTCTGAATCATGGGTCATCTACTGTCATCACCTGCGACTCCTCCAACGCTTTCATCAGCGCTGCCTCCGTACAATTCTAAACATCCATTGGACTGACTATATGTCTAATGACACTGTCCTCGAGCAGGCAGGGGTCACCAGTATCGAGGCCATATTGCTGAAATTGCAGCTGTACTGGGCAGGGCATGCCTCCAGGATGAAAGATCACTGCCTCCCTAAGATCGTGTCTTATGGTGAACTTGCCACAGGTTGCCGCAAGAGAGGTGCCCCAAAGAAGAGATATAAGGACTCCCTGGAACAATACCTTAGCCTTGACCATATTGACTGCCATCAGTGGTCCACCTTGGCCTCCAATCGGGAAAATTGGAGACACACCATACATAATGCCGTTGACTCCTTTGAGAACTCACGCAGGACTAGTCTCAAGGAGAAAAGAAAACATAGAAATCGTGCCCCACCTATACCACCCAAGGAGACCTTTCACTGTGTTTTTTGCAGCAGGATTTGCCTAACTCACATTGGCCTTTTTAGCCATCAGCTCGTTTATAGTAAGCGTGGGTAAAGCCCTTTCCAAATCTTCATTCGCGAAGGCAAGCCATGATGATGATGATGATGATATATGCATATATATGACAGTACAAACCAAGGCAGCTCACCTTCAAAAAGTGCATATGCCACGTCCATTTAAGTAGTCCTGCCTACTGGCTGAAGAATCTCAGTGTTGTATTCTAACCAGATTATCACAATTCCTCTACAGCTTTGAAGTAAAAACATAGATCCTCCAATCGCCCGGTAACTTACACTGTGGCCAGATTTACGTATCCAGACAAAAGTTGACCAGTCAACAAGTGCTCACCTGTAACCTTTCTATCCAGCTCAGAAAGGCTTGAATTGGTAGCAAGCACCCTTGATACCTCTTATTAAACATCAGGCATATTTAACAAGCATAAAGTTAAAAGTAGTTGAAAATATAATTCAATTTGCTGTAAGAGCCCTTTTTCTAATGGACTGCCACAGCCTGAAGGTTTCCTTTTAATCCATTGTAAGAAAGTTATGTGCAAAGACTATAAGTATTTCTCAAGATTTATGTCTTATTAAACTTAAGAGTAACAAAAAAAAAAATTAATAAACTTTTAAAAAAATAAACTATTTTAAAACACTGGCACTGCTAAATTACAAGTTATTCACTGTCACATTGTGAACAAAGCATGTAAGAGTGAGTATAATAATGAATAAACATCACAGATGTTCAAATGAAACAGTAAATCATTATTATCAAGCACAAAGAAACCCATGTTGTTATGAAAGGTTTAACTCTCATCCAGGAATTCGTATGAGAAGAAAATGTAGGCCATATAATGTAAGTATTTACCTAAGAGATACTTTGAAACAGAAAAGAAAATATTGACATTTGCACCTGCTGACAGTTACACTGCAATGGATCATTTATAACTGCTTTTTCGAACATCAGGTTACAAAACTAAAAGGAAGATATGGCCAAAAATTAAGTTAAGCTTACAATATACTTCTAGGCATGCTGACCAGCACATACCATTTAAAGCAGTATAAACCAGAAGAAATGTTCTAGTTACACTGCACCTGTATGATTAGAATTAAGGAAATAAAATTAATTATATTGTCAGCTCTTATGCTCTCCCTATGAATTATCTGTTTACTGGAATTAAACAAGAATAATGGCTTTGCTGAACATTTAGGACTGAAGTGACTGCTTGCTAACTACTCTTTTCCTGCACATACCTTGTAGAAAGGCTCACAGTCCAGTTTCTGCTACAGAAGTGATGTCAACTATGGACACAAAAAAAAACAAACAGTCCTTCAACATACTGTCTCACAAAGTGACATCAAGTGCATTCAATATTCTGGTCTGTTTGTGCTTCATGTGCACAACTAGGGAATACAGCTGGTTTATGGGACAGAGTTCAACTCTGGTGAAGTTCAGTCTAATGTCACACTACACATTTGGGGGCAGTACATTAAAAGGATAAACTCTTGGCTGGACTCAGCTTTCAATGTGCTTGCTTAGGCTCTAGCTCCATGTGTTAAGTAACTTTACTCATACTCCACACAAGGTATGTTGTGTATAAACGCATACTAGCAAAAGTATGTGTTGAAAAGGTGGGTTGGCTCCTACAAGGTGTTTTCAGAGAAAAACCAAAACCAAAACCACAGAATTGGTGCAATATGGTCTGTTCTTCAGAAAATCATTACTTCTGTGTTTTAGTTTGAACATCAAGGAAAAGCTTGGGCTGAAAATACAGAAAGGCATTGAAAAATCAGAAAAATAGCATTTCCATCCTACTTTGTGGCAGGCTACTAAAGGGCACTAGAGCTTTTGAGATCTCTGTGAACACCCCTGAGTTGTAATGCACTACATAGCAGAGAATCAGTATCTGAAAAACATTATGGTCACTTAGAAAGAAGAAAACATTTGCAAAAGAGAAAAATCTCTCAACCACCATTTTCTAATGTAGCCTCTGAAAGAAAGACAAGCCTGAAAATAGTTGATTCAGATATACAAATATTTATACCAAAGATTCCATTTTATCTGAGCTGTTCTGGAATACACAATAAAATAATGCAAGTAAAGACACCTCTTGTTCTTACTGAAGACTTCTTACCAACTTATTTATGAATGCTACTGTTAATGAGATGCGTACATAATAAGCTACACCCAGTCCTGTAATCACAACCACACTTCAACAAACAAACAAAAATTACTTTATTTTTTTCCCAGCCAGTCCTCCTTTGTAACTAAGACTTTGGACTGACAAATTAGCATTCATATTCTTTTTTCTCAAACCACTGGATAATTTCTTTCATACCTGAGGTACAATATGATCATTAAGAAGCATTCTGAAGATGCACAGCTGCACTGGTATCATTGCATCAATGCTTTTGAAAAACATTTCCATAACATACCAAGGTTTTAAAAGACAGAAAGATTAAGAAAAGTACAATCAGTAGTGTTTCTGACTAGGTTAACACAGGCAGCCTTCTGAAGATGAGAGATGAGCTGAGATCAACACATACACGCAGACTGATAAATCATCATTCAGTATGGGCAAGGGGTCTAGAGTATGATGGACTTTAAAAGATGTTATAATGCATTTTATGGTGGTTTGTTTTTTTGTTGGGTTTTTTTTTTTTTTTTTTGTTGTTTTTGGTTTTTTTTTGACTACACATTTGCATACCCTCTTAGAATGATAATTTAGTCTATCATTGAAAGGAAAGTCACACTGACCAACAGTCAAATGCTCTTTCAGTGCTGCTTTTTGATTTTTATGAAAGTATAACCTGTGGAATGGTTCACATTAGCTCTGAATTATTAATGGAGTTGAATGATCAAATTGCTCTTCGTTAAGTTATTATGGGTACTAACCACACATTTACACAGCGGTACCAAACTGTTGTTTCTCCAGAGTCCCCGGGATCAATTTTACAACTCTCCCTCAAAATGCCCGTTTCCAACTTCTGGGACTTGAGCAGCTGCCCGGCACCGTCTCCCTCCCCAGGCTGCGGAGGCTCAAGGCGGTGCCGTGCAGCACGCCCCGGGGCACAGTCAAGAACTAACGGCACCGTGAGCACTATTCCCCCCACCCCCCGTCACCGGCCCTTGGGGAAGGACCTGCCGAGAAACCAGCAGCACCTCGGCCGCTCCACAGCTAAGCTGCAGCCTTCCCCTCCCTGCGCCAAGCGGAGCCCGGGCTCACCAACTCGCACAGCGAACAAGTGGGATGCGGCCGAACTTTTACTCTGCCGGTGCCAGCTTCTCCCGCAGCCGCCCGCTAGAGCTGCCGTCGTAGCACCGGCACCTTTTGGGGCTTAAGTTTGGCTGCCGCGTAGCACGTCCCCGTCTTCGTTCACTTCTCCTTCTCCTTCCCCCAGCCCGGGGCGCGATGCACAGGTAGCGGAGACCCGGGGGGAGCGTGCTGGCGGTGCGGTACGGGGGTCCCCGCTGTACTCACCCGCTCCCCAGCCGCACGGTCAGCAGCAGCAGCAGCAGCCGGGCCCCGCGGCGGCGGCTCCAGCGGGGAGCAGGGCTCCCCCACGCATCCATGAGCGGGAAGGCGCTCTCCCGTCCCCGAGTTTTCTCCGGAGAGGCTGGGGAATAGCGACCCTGCCAATCCCACCGTTCTCCCCCCCCCACCGGCACACGGCAGGCAGAGGGAGGGGAAGGGGGAAATTAAATAAAAAATCAAGCACCCAAACAGGTAGGAAGCCACTCTACAAGGACCGAGCAACTCGCCCAATAGGCTCATCAGGTTGCTCCATAAATTATCCTAAAAATTGCTGGGCGAATCAATCCCTAGCAGAGGTGGAGCCTCCTTTACTAGAAGGGAAACATGCTTGGGAGAAAGGGCGGCATTGATTTGCTATTTTCTCTAAAGAGGGAGATAAATCTCATCTATATACAAAAATATAAATGTTAAATATGTATTTACATATATATATGTTTGAATCTTTGTATTTTTAAAGCTACTGAGAGAGTGGCTTGCAATCTGAGAAGCAACCCCTCGACCCTGCCAAACGGAGAGCCGCAGGCGGGAGGAGAAGCGCCGCGGCTTGTGCGCGGGCACCCGCGGGGACTGCGCGGCCACGCGTCCGGCACGACTGCGATTCTGAGGAGGGTGGCACCAGCCGCGGGAAAGGGGGCACCCTCCGGCCCCTAGTCTGTCCCCAGGAGAAAGGGCCCACCCCTCCAGCCATGGTCCCCAAAGCTGTGCTGGAAGCAGGCGGCATGCTCGGTGCGCAAGTGCAACCGCGGGACTTCCGCACACCCTAGAAACGAAAGTCGCGCAAGCCCGAAGGCTGCATGCTGCTCTGCGCTGCCGCGGAGCGCCCCCGGGGGGGGGAAGGGGGAAGAAAGCGGTCGGTGCACGGTGCTGCGCTATGAAGTGAAACGTGCCGGGGCTTGCTACAACGTGCAAATTGATTTATTTGCCCCCCCTCTTTTCTCCTCCCCCCCCCCCCCCCTTTTTTTATTTCCTCTTCTCATTTCCCTCCTTGCTGCTCCGTTTTCCTTCCTCTTTCGGGAATCCGACGGGGGAAAACAGCCAAAAAAAAACCACAAAACACCCACACCCTAAACCTTACACAAAAAACAAACCCGAGGCACGAAAAGCATCCTCGGCGGCAGAGAGGCTCAGAGGTTTGACGCCTGCAGCCTTCTCCCGCTGGGACCAGGGGTAACGTCCCGCCGGGACTAGCATCTAAATAGTGCCTATGTCCTTGCACAGCTTCAGGGTTGGATGGACCCTGAATCTCGCCCCGGCCTCGGAAATGTCCCGCCTGAAGCTCTCGATTGGGGAACTCCCAGAGTAACCTGTGCTGTGTGATTCTCAGCACAAGGAGCAAAATATTTTATAGTCGTCTTACTCATCGTCATTCTCTGAATCAAGATGTATCTGCACAGAAATGTAAATAATTCCCCATTCAGTGTTTATTCCGACACAAGGCAATGTTTTGGTTTGGGTTCTCCTGCTTTACACATCTTCATCTGGTTATTTTAATATACAGCGTATAGCTGCTTTAATGGTTAAAGGAACTCATCACGCTTCAGAGAGCTGCAGTGCATTAAGTGAAAATTCAACGACTTGAAAATTAATAGCCAGTCCTGGGGGTACTGGCAGAAGGTAAAGGCACATATTAGTGTATGACCTGAGGTCTCTTTATTGGTGGATTAACACTGCAGGCAGCATCCTATCATGATGGCAAAGACATGAGCTCAGAGGAGAGAATATGCATTTATTACAGAGTAAGTGCAGAAGTAGCTTCCCTGCTGCAGCTGGTGGTCCTGGCTCCAAGGAATGTCACTGCTGTCCCCCTCAGCAAGAAAACAAGCACAGCCTGTTCCCAAGTCCCTTCCTCTCCAGAAGTCCTTTTGACCTGAAAATAATCACAATCCTTAGGTTTATTATGAATTGAACTGTCAAACTGACCACATTTTGCAAAATGTGTAATGAACACTTCATATGCCTTTGCATTCTGATGTTTATGGAGCCATTAAAACTCTTTACTAGTCTATAAAATTTCACCCTGTCACTAAAATAAATTAAGCAATTGATATGAATACTGAGAAAGTTTGATGCAAGAAGTTTAAGGGTACTTACAGGATTACAAGGCATCTTTATTCTATGTGAGTAGCTTGGAGCATTGATTTATAAACATTTAATTTCACCCCTGTGTAGGTCCAGCAGCTAGCTAGCACTGAAAGAGGTGGAAGATTACAGCTAAAATAACAGGTAACATGGATAGTGGAAAAATACATTTTTTCATTTGATTTTTCTGGCTTTAGAATACTAAGGCGCATTAAAGTGCCATTGAAAAGAATTTAAAATAAAATTTGTACCTATGAGATTTCTCAAATGACACAAGATTATGTCAGAACAAGCTGGTTTCATAGAATCAGAGAAAAGTTAGGGCTGGAAAGGACCCTAAGATCATCTAGGTCCAACCCCCCTGCCATGGGCAGGGACACCTCACACTAAACTATCACCCAAGGCTCTGTCCAACCTGGTCTTGAACACTGCCAGGGATGGAGCATTCACAACCTCCCTGGGCAACCCATTCTAGTGCCTCACCACCCTAACAGGAAAGAATTTCCTCCTTATGTCCAATCTAAACTTCCCCTGTTTTTTAACCCATTACCCCTTGTCCTATCACTACAGTCCCTAATGAAGAGTCCCTCCCCAGCATCCCTATAGCCCCTCTTCAGATACTGGAAGGCTGCTATGAGGTCTCCACACAGCCTTCTCTTCTCCAGGCTGAACAGCCTCAACTTTTCAGCCTATCTTCATGCAGGAGGTGCTCCAGTCCCCTGATCATCCTTGTGACCCTCCTCTGGACTTGTTCCAACAGTTCCATGTGCTTTTTATGTTGACACCAGAACTGTACAAAATACCCCAAGTGAAGTCTCACAAGAGCAGAGTAAAGGGGCTTCAGATAGTGTTAAATCTGAATTTTCCTTTTACTTTAATGTAAAATATAGAATTCTACCCCTTACAAAACTAGAAAATGATTTTTTTCCATAGTAAGTAAAATACTTAAGGAAACTTAGGTGTTAAAGTACTGAGAAGCAAACAGGATAGCTTGCTATCCTGTAAAAATAGTAAAACTTCTCTAACTACCAGAAGAAAACTTGAAGGATAATGAATCATCTCAAATTGTCTGTGCTTCAAAGGAACAAAAGAAGCAATACGGAAAACTGCAAAATAGAAAAGAAGGCATTGAAGAAAAACAGAGGAAATTACCTAAATGAGCGTCAAAAGGAGATGCTGATCCAGGTGACAGTAAGTTACCAAGGCCTCCTGATACTCATCAGCCACTTGGTACTGACACAGCTGACCTAACAACAATATTTAAATTATCAGTTAAAATCATTATCTTCTGCTGAGAGTAGGAGGGGTGTCTTTAGAAAAAACCCCAACAAAACACAGAGGTGAAGAAAGGGGTCAGCACTGGCATTTCAGGCCTGCTAGGCATCACCTCAGAAAGAGCAAATTAAACAATGTTTAATGTGCAAGCAAAGCTGTAGGATTTAAAATGCTGTTTTTATTAAAGGGGTGCAGACCAGAATGGCTTCTGCAGAGAAAACCACTGCCTCTAACTTCTTCAGTCATGTTTAATGAGTCTGTGAATAGAAGAACAGGGCTACATAATTCACTGTCTTTCAAACCCTTTTTAAGTCTATCAGGTATTTGTTAAAGGAGCTGCATAGTTAGGGGGTGAATCAGATGGTAATGCCGTATTTCAGAAACTGCTTGAGACTACTGTCAGAGTGGTTAACTTTCCATATTAAAAAGATGAATTGTGAGTTCTTGCACATCTGCTCTTGAGTTTACTTGATCAATTCCTTACTAACGTAATGGTTTTAAAGACAAGAAATAGAAAACTTTACCGATGAAGGTTTCAGTTTAGTTAAGTCTATAGAAAAAATAGAGAATACTGATTAATTGATCATGGTAGAGAAAATTAATTATGGGATGTGAAATAATGGTATGTTGGCAAACATAAAAAGAAAAATAATTCAAAGGCTGAATTTGGTAATGCTTTTAGGTACCTAAATGTAAACATCACATCTCAGCTCTCAGCTCTGTTGCTAACTAATAATGGAAGATCCAGAAAAATCATTTATATTTAAGTGTGATATTTCTCCAGGTCTCTAAAGCAGCACCCATATGAACACCCAGAAGAGCACTAGTTCGAGCAGCACAACAACTAAATTCTGCCCAAGCTCATCTGAAACTTTTCTCTACCCTCCAGCTTTGAGGAATGCAAAATAACAGGATAATCAAATGCAATGTGAAAGTCCTCTAAAACACAGCCAGGGTAGATTTCCTCTTTCCTAACTTCTTAGAGGTGTAAGAATTTATTTGGATTCTATACAAATACACTTAACCCTCAGGCACTGTAAGGGGAATGAAGATACTTAGCACAAGTTTCTGATTTCCAGTCCGGAAGCCACCTGTTCAACTTCAAGGTATCTACAATCTGTAATGCATCCAAAATTACATGAGAAAGAATTTTCATGCTTAAAGCTGAAAGAGAATAATATAGAATAGAATATAATAAAATAGAATAGCTGAAATAGTTCAAACAGAAGGAGGAGGGAAAAACAAACAAAAATGAAACTAGTTAATAACCACTGTATTTTTCACCTGGGAGACTTCGCACCTAGTATTGAAAAGTATTTTAATCCTTCAAAACTTAATTATTCAAGACCACAGAGGAACCTAAAAACTCTCATAGGTAACTTTCCATCATGTATCTTCTGTATTTGTCTTGGGCATAACTACTTTCCTTACAGGAACATGGGAAATTTGATGGGAGCTTTGTGTGCCTGCACACCACTTTGAGTACATAAAGAGCTCTGAAAATCTAGTGGGTGGCTTATCTTCATCCACTGTTCTTGAGGGAAGTTAATGGTCCTCACTCATGTAGTTCTGTAAGAAGCATTTATCCTGCTGAGCGCAAAATTATCCAGTGGGTGGAGAGGGAAGAGAAAACTAATGTGGTGTTCAGTGGTGTTCTGTCCTCCACCAACAAAAAGCATATACAATAGCAAGAACTCAAGGACCATTAGAGCCATGTCTTCAGAAGGGTAAATTCAAATTTACATAACACTTTTTGCATGTTTCCATATGTAAACCTTAACTGTGGACGTACAAAGCCATTTCCTGATGACATTGCCCCCTAAATTCATATAATCATAGACTAGTTCAGGTTAGAAATGACCTTTAAAGGTCATCTAGTCTACACACACATACACACACCCCTCGCAATGACCAGGGACATCTTCAGAAAGTCTGCACATGTGATTTATGTGCTTGCATTTGAGTAAGCACAAATTTAAGTGCAGAGCCACATGCACAGATTTTTAAATCT